CTTTACGCTATATAATACTGCAATGGCTTTGGCCATTTTACCTTTCATATAGCCTATATGTGATTTCCAGCTTAGAGCTTCATCAATCATTACTCCCAAAAATTTGATTTCTTTTACCCTTTGAATTTCCATGTTATCTATTTCTAATATTACGTCTATATTTTCTTTGCCATTAAATAGAATGAAATTAGTTTTTTTAAGATTAAGTGTTAATTTATTTACATCAAACCAGTTTTTAACTTTTATCAGTTCAATATTTATCACATTAGTTACTTCATTTATATCAGACCCTGAATAAAACAATGTTGTATCATCTGCAAACAAAACAGAACCTAGTTTGTCAGACACATTTACCAAATCATTGATATACAGGTTGAACAATTTTGGTCCAAGGACCGACCCTTGTGGCACTCCATAAGCAATATTTCGTAGCTCTGATGTAATGCCATTTATCTGAACATATTGCTTTCTGTTATCTAAATAACTTCTAACCCATTGATGAGCAACCCCTCGTATTCCATACTGATATAATTTTTGCAGTAACCTTGAATGATCGATAACGTCAAAAGCTTTCTTTAAGTCAATAAAAACACTGATAAAGTATTCTCTATTGTCTATCGCTTCAGATATTTTCTCTGTTAAATCCATTATTGCCATTGTTGTTGAATGTTGGGTCCTGAATCCATACTGTTCATTATGTAAAATCATATTTTTTTCAATAAATTTATCCAACCGTGATGCAAAGACTTTTTCAAGTATTTTGGAAAACTGTGGAAGTAGTGACACTGGCCTATAATTTGTGAAATTATGTTTATCACCATTCTTAAACAGTGGAACCACTTTTGCTATTTTCATAGCATCAGGGAAGACTCCAGTAGAAAGTGACAAATTACATATATAAGTAAAAGGATCAATAACAGATTCTATTATGGTCTTTACAGTCATCATGTCCAAATCCTCACAATCAGTTGATCGCTTATTTCCACAGTTTTTTACAATTTCTCGTATTTCCTCTTTTTCTACTTTGCCAAGGAAAATACTACTGACATTATTTACTACTGTATTCAAATTGTCTTCAATTAAAGTGTCATGACCCATCAAACTCCTCCCTACATTTACAAAAAAATCATTGAATTCATTAGAGATTTCTTTTACATCATAAATGTCTACATTGTCCTTGACAAAGTAATTTGGTACCTTAGATCTAGTTTTATTTCTGTTCGTCACACTATTTATTATTCCCCATGTAGCCTTTGTATTAGCCTTATTCTATTCCAATAATTCACCATAATAATCTTTTTTCCTTTTCCTAATTATTGCTATTAATTTATTTTTATATTTTTTATATCGGTCTTCTGCTACTCTTGTCTGTGATTTTAAAAAATTCCTATACAGCTGGGGTTTTTTTGCACATGCATTTCTTATTCCTTTAGTCATCCATGGTTGATCTACCCTTTTACCACTACTTCTGTGGTATCCTGTCATGTATCGGTCCAAGATAGTGTGTTTATATTGTGTTCTTTGTGTATATAAGAGACTTTAAACAGGGACATATTTGTCTCTCATTCTCCCACCTCTTCATGCGCTCCCCACCTTTAAACCCACGTTTCCTGTCATTTCCATCCACAAATAAAACGCTTGCTGTGCATCTTTTCACTCCTCCAGTCACGGGAGAATTAAACGTTCATATTTTTAGAGTTTTTTCGCAAGGTATTCTTCAAGCTTCTCCGTGTCTGCCGCTAGTTATCCTCGGCTCTCTTTGCAATGGCGGCGCTGTAAACAACAGCGGCGTCCTGACCAATCACAAGCTTGCATAATCCGTTTCGTTCGACGGATGTTTAAAAAAGTGGGCTCGACTCCGTACGTACTTGCGTGCCTGCCGGATCCCTACGCAAGGACGGGTAATGGCGTTGCGTGTCTCAGCACTGACGCAGACGGAGAAGCATAAATCAGGCTTGAGTTATCTATTGCTCCATATCTCCAGAAAAAATACACACTTTCACTTTAACGGTTAATAGCTGGTTAAAGGTTGACTATGGGACACGGACAATTTGGCGAACTCTGGTGTTCAGAGGTGGTATTGCATCAACAGGAGAAATTTTCCAGCTGCTGGGATGTTGGTTCACTGCTGACATGTTCCAGCACCATGTTGAGTGATAAATCGTACAGAATATGGACTCATTTCTACTAATAAGTTTATCTTACAGCAGTATTGACCATTAGAACATATTCTGGGCTCAGAATCAGCTGCTTGACATGTCAAATCTGCCATTTTACACAATCCCAACCTCGCCTTGCTCAGCGGGCTTTATTGTGAATTATACAACAGTGAGTTCTGACCGAGTGATTTGATTGGTCAAGAGACTTTCTAAGAGTGCTGATATTGGACTATAACAGCATATGGACTGTTTACAAACAGTATCACTCTGCTGTGCACAGGCGTTCTAAAAAATAAACATATCTAAACAAAAACTTGTTCTGCAGGTCGGAAAGCTCGCTAAGAAGTTACTGGAGACCATCTGTGGAGAGCCAGAAACGATGGAGTAATGTGCTGTCTGATCGAGTTAACTCATCAGAAACACCCATGCCACCAAAGCGTCGGTCAGCAGACTGGTATGTCAGTGAATGTACAATAAACGGACACATTCAGATAATCGTAAATGATACAAAGTAAAGTTACAGTGCTTTGTAGAAAATGTATGTGTTGCCTAGCCAACAGCCTTGTCTGAGTCTCCGTTTCGTGTTGGGACCATTTGTGTTGGCGGAGCCTGATAAATGATTATGATTTGTTCATTTGTTTAATCTGTTGTTGCTTATTGTTGTTATAAAAATAAAATGAGCAGGTAGAACTGTTGTATAAAAGCAATATGACACGAGAGGGAGTGCGTTGTTGCTGAATGACACAAAAGAATAAAGTGGAACAAGAACTTCTATCTTCTGTTTCTCTCTCCTTTTAACTTCTCCGTGTCACTAAATAAAGGACACAGATGATGACGCTGCAGCCGCCGTCGCTGACCCCGCTCCCTCCCCAAGACCGGACCTCCCGACATCACAGCACTCGGTCTGACTGAGCGCTTCCAGGAGAAACAATAATGAAGTTATGAAAATAATAATGCGTGTTTGGAGGAACATCCTCAAGGCGGTACAGCTTAAAGGGACATGAACGTTGCCAACCTACACACATCTTTTCATTTATTTACTATCAAATTTATTGACGGGAAAAAAATTATCTTGATAAGTCAGAAAATTCGATAACGATAAATTTTCGATTTATTGCCCAGCCCTAATGCCACCTGAATCAGAATCTCATATGTCCCAGCCTGGACTCGAACCCGGGTCCTCAGCGGTAAAGAGAAACCTTATCGGTGTTTAAAAAAAGAACCAAAAATGGAATTAGAAGACAAACACAGCAAGAACGTACAAAAGATGCTAGTGTTGCACCTTTGTTTGAAGAAAACAGCGAATTGAACTGAAATCGCAATTTCTGCTAGAAAAACAGCAATTCAATCTTTTCCTAAAATCGTTCAGCCCTAGTAAAGACCCAATTATACAGTTTATGAGGGGAAAAAGTGATTTTGGGGTTTAGTTACACTTTAATCATGGACTTGTTTTGGTTCAGGGAACAACACCATATTCCTGGCATAAGCAACCTGCTGGACACTTGACCGTCTGGTGACCTCTGACATTGCCCCGCTCTATAAATAACTCTTTTCTATCTACTCTTTTAACGTAACTCATTACATTTATGAACGATGAGTAAAGAGAGATGGATGTCATCAGACTCATAACGTGTTGCACAGCGGACCGTCTGGCATCAAGTTCACAGCACTGCGATGGTGTGCTTATAAGCACATTCTGGAGGCCACGGTTTTCAAAAGCCACTTTAGTTTCCTTACATTGAACTAAATAGTTACACTGACATTTATTTAATTTACTAGGCAAATCAGGAGTCAGACAAGCAGGAGCGTCATGGCCGACTGACCTGCTGCTGGTCTGGTTCAGCTTGCTGCGCCATGTTCTGCCAGGCTCGGAGCTTTGATGTGAGGCTTATTGTGTTCCAAGAATGAAATAACGAAGAATAAACTGCTCTCCTGCTGTGCTGTTTGCTAACCACTTAATGTTTGAGCACATTTGTTCGGTCATGTGACGAGGTCATTTCTTCTTCTGTGGTTGCCCAGTAAACATACTTGATAGTGGCGCTCTTGCGGACCGTTTCGCTTACGTGTTGTCTGTGAGCGGGGTGGGACTTGTGGAGCACTTTCCTTCTGTGTGTGTGTGTGTGTGGGGGGGGGGGTCTCGTAGGCATGGCACCACACCTGAGCCTATGTAGGGGAAACACTGGAACTGTATTGGAATGTGTGTGTAAAGAGACTTGAGACGACTTGTCGTGATTTGGCGCTACATAAATATTATGAATAAACTGAATTGGAAAGGAACGCTACTTTCTGGGAGAACGGATATTCGTGTATTTTATTTAGAAAACGGCTACGCTAATAAATGCAGCAACTGGGCCTAGTTTACAGACTTGAGTTTTGAGTTTGTTTTTATTCACAAGCAGGGATTCCCCCAGCGCTTTATAAGCCTAGTGGCCCGCCAGGCTTTGCTTGGCCACCCACCAGGCTATGCATCATGCCCCGCCCCGACCCTATCGTGTCCGCTGACACGAACGGCGCAACGAAACTAGAGCCCTCCATCAGCTGATACTGGTGAGAAACAGCAGCAGAACGCGTGCAACCCCCCCACCCCCGCTCTCACAGAGGAGCGCTGTGGGACGGAGCGTGTGACCCCCGCATTCCCGACGGCCGAATCCGCCAGGCTTAACACGTTCTGGGTGAAACCCTGCACAACCAAATAGTGGGAACACAGAGTGTGGATAACTCAAAGGTGAAAGTACTGCCATTAGTTCTCTGTCTCTGCCCAAGTGCTAACTGGGGTTCAAACCCTTTCAAACCACATTAAGCACACTTCCCTGACCCTTGACATTAAACCCTTAGACTCACCTTTGTTGCTGAAGCGAAAAAGATTGACGAATGAGCTGTATGCTGAGCGGAGAGGAGGGTCATCTTGCTCTGGGGTCAGCGGTTTAAAATGGGTCAAGTGGGAGGGGCTATTAGGTGAGGTGTCACATGGCTCCACGTTCCACTCAGTTGATGACGAGGATGAAGATTTGTCATCAGCAGCCATCTTGCTGCTACTTTGACTACAGAGACAAAGACAGAATCAGCTGAGGGAACACCCATCTGGACTAGGGAACAAAATCAGGATCTTAACGAGGTTCACTTTTACTGAGTTGTTACCATGGCAACAGATCAGCTCCTAACCAGGAACCACACGGCACCATGTCTAAAGGCTGCTTATACTGAGCCAGGATCCTCTGGAGGTTTCTGTTAAAAGGGAGTTTTCCTCTCCACTGTCGCTGCATGCTTGCATAGTATGAGGATTGCTGTAACGACTCTGACACTAGTCAGTGACTCGATGCAACCTTCTGGGTTCCTTATATAGGAAACTTTTTACTGATTGGCTTAATGACCTGACCTGGACTGGAACTGTGTGAAGGTCCTTGAGACGACTCTGGTCCTGATTTGATGCTTTATAAATAAACTGAATTGAAACTAGAATCTTTTGGACTGTTTTTTTTTTTTTCATTTATTCAATCAAAAGTCAAACAATAAACAAATAAATGTGAATGTAAGTATTAAATGAAAACCTTAGCACGTACAGTGGAACAAGTTCGATGAAACAATTGTGTGAAGTACGAATCAGTCCGGAGAGTCCTGGGAAAGGTCAGTTTGATCAGTTAAAGAGTGCAAGCAGATGTAATAATATTACAAGAGACCCACAGATCTGCCACATCTGCAGATGAACTTAAAACACCTGAGTTTCCCAGCATGCTCTCTGCTATTTCATACACAAAAACATCATTTTCACAGTATTGGACACAGTTTCAGATCCAGAGGGTAGATTTATTAATAATTTGCGTGGAAAATCTGTTACTACAACAACTAATTTACGAATTGATAATATTCTTACTAATAACTCTGCTGATATTGCTGAAGCGTTCAGCCAGCTTTGACCAGAACTTCCGGTCCCAAACTTGTTTAAAAACTTTTAAAATGATCAGACACCCCAATTTGCAACTAACTCAGTACAAAATTCTACACAGAGTACACTATACAGGTCATCGGATGTTCAGGATGGGGTTTGTGTCGTCTGACACCTGTACACACTGCACAAACAACATTCCTGACAATTACATCCACGCACCGTGGTCCTGTCCACCTGTCCAGGAATTTTGGGGTGGAGTATGTGGGAATAGCATACGTATGTATTTTGGGTGCTTTTAAAGCTTAATATACTACACTACATTTGACCAGATATGAATTTCTATATAAATATGGAAATCAAATCTGACTGGTCTTTGAATGTTTAACCAGAAGATTTAGAATTCTTTGTTAATTCAGGGATTGTCAGACACTTCGTATCAATTCAGACAGAATCAAGTTTATAAAAAGTAAGAAATGTATTTTCTAAACAAATAAAAACATGACAGCTAGACACTTCATGTGATGAACGAATTTAAGTGGACGGAATGTGAGGTGTGATGTTATCAGAACCTTCGTAGCTGGAGAAACTGAGTTCTGAGAGGGAGTGAATTTGGTCTGTCTGCGTGGAGACACGCTACGCCATGATGCGCTTGCAGAGGGTGACGGAGGGATGCCCCAACGCCGTCGAAAAGGACGGATACCGCAGCTTGTGATTGGTCAGGAGTCAGGACGCAGCTTCCTGTAAACAGCTGCACCGCCTTTGCCCCTCCAAAAGTAAAAGATGTTTAGAGGAAGACACGAATTTAAGAACGCATCGTAGAAAAATTCTGAAAAGATGAACGTTTGCTCTAATATTGCTGTTGCCATGGAAACTTGGTTTGGACCTGTGTGCTGCAGGACCGGTCAGATTTTCAGGCTCCAAAACAAGAAAAGAAGACCTAAACTAATCACCAGACTAAAACCTGGGATCTAACTGGGTTTTAGAGGGGAGAACAGAACCAGCAGGGACCTTCTGGACCCAGATGTTTTACTCACTCCGAAAGCAGAAGCTCAGCAGCACCAGATCAGAACCCGAGGCAGAACCGTGGCTTCAGTTTGAAGTGGCCGGACGGCTGACTGCTCTGCCAGTAGATTGGACCCGGGGAAAGTTAGCGATTCATGTCGTCTTCTAACAGAGCATCTTATTCATCCAATCATGTGACCCAAACCAGCTTGACCGCGGAGTCCGGAACCAGGAAGAGAACTGGGTCACGTTCACTGTCGCCAGCCGGAAGGCTAAGCTAACAGCTGGCTAGCCCACAATTAGCATGGCTGTATAAAGCTGTCCGCTCCTTTGCTCCAGGTGAACGACGCTGTCGTGACTGTGTCAGCCAGGCTAGTTGTTCTAGCTCCCCTTTGGCCCAGGACTCGTTCTGAGAATCCAGACTGAACACCTGTGGAAGACAGTCAGGAGTTACATGCTGGTACAATCCCAATACTGTCACTGCGCACTACTGTCAAGTGCACTGAGGAGGTGCGCTGCGCCGACGTCGAGTGCGTACTACACGCAAGTGACAGGAAGTGACGCGTTCTTTTTTAAAAATAATAATATTTTTTTTTACATACATGTAAACTTTCACGGGGAAACGACGGTACAACATCGATTGTGTTAAATCAGAATTTAGAACTAAAAGATTGCTTACAATTCAACAAACCGAAACAATGTTTTCACACCAAAAAATAAATAAATAAAAACAAACTGCCATAAAGAAAAGAAAAAAAAAGCCAACATTTTCAAGGCCATATTCTCACTTATTTCGAACAAATTTCAGCAGTGTGAATCTATTCTATGGAAAAAAAACCGCTTTCTGGTTATCAAAGTTTTGACACATTCTTTAAAAGTATATTTCTGGTTATCAAAGTTTTGACACATTCTTTAAAAGTATAAGTAGTGGTTCATATTTTCACATATCTGGTCAGCATCCTTGCATGAGTTTTTTAAAAGAGCTAAAGATGTATACAGTGATATCAGTTCAACCTTTAGGACGTTTAAGGAAGGATTTTCATTACGCCATTTACATTTATGAAGGTGGTATTTTCCAACAAGTATTACAATATTACTCAGCATTTCAAGTTCTTTTGACAGACTGTCATCATGATACAAAACCTCAGCGGACTCTTTCTGTTAATTGTTACCCATCCAGTTTACCACGTCCAACCAAAAGTAAGATGTTACAGAACAAGAAAAATGTTACAGAACAAGAAAAAAAAAGTTCAACACTCTTCTTCTTGTAAACAAAAACCACGTGGTTTCACCTCAAAAACGAATCGTTTTTTAAACATTTGAGCTGCTGGGTAATAGCCGTTTATTATTTTAAACCGCATTTTCTTAATCTTTGGGGGGATAGACCATTTGAAAAAGTTCATATATTTCTGATTTATCTTAATATTACATCAGTTTAGTTTTATGTTGTTGTTAAATTAATGAAATGAAATTTATTTAAACAGTTTATTTGTGGTTTGTTACAACACTTTTTATTCATTAAAGGAATCTGTTTTAACTGCAACAAAGGTAAGCTTATTTGACTTTGAACATACATTAAATGATTTTGTATCAAATGCAACAAGGGCAAAGGGATTGCTTTACAAATTTTGTTGTATTCTCTAAGTGAACATTGGATATTATATTTTCCATTAAAGCCTTTATTTCAAGACACTGACCTTTTGAATCTAGCAAACCTGTAACAAAAATAATTCCTTTTTCATACCACTTATCTATAAATAATGATTTCCTATTTATTGTAATTGTCCTTTCAATCCACGAGGTGGAGCCATGGGGAGTGAAGTTATGATTAAACACTATCTTCCAGTAAAACAACATTTGTTTGTGATATTCTGACAGCTTGATTGGTAACCTCGATATGTCAAAATCACATTTCAAAAAGGAACTCCAACCCGTCCACCTTTTTAAATATATTCCTTGGGATATGGAACCATATTCAGTCCGGTTTTAAAAGATAAGCTTTTAGTTAGGTTATTTTGAAAACTCCTACCATAGATGGGAAATCAATCGTCTTAATTCCTCCTTTAGTGTAGTCTTTAACCAGTTGTGATTTTTAATATAGTGTGTTTTATTGCACCAAATAAAATTACATATTATTGAATTAATCTTTTTGATACTCCGCGGGGTAATATATAAAGAATATAATGGATAGACCATCTTGGAGACACCTTCTGATTTAGATAACAAATTCCGTCCAAAAATTGTAAGATCTCTTGTTAACCAATAATTCAGTTTTCTACACATATCAATTTGATCTTTCACATTTTTTGTCTCTCTAATTTTAATATCTTTGTTTAAGTAAATTCCTAGAAACTTAACTTCTCATTTCACTGGAATTGTCTTCATATTGGTTTCCAAACAATCATAGAGAGGTAAAATTTCACATTTCTTCTGATTTAGGTTCAAACCTGATGCCTTTGAAAAAACTGAAATCACATTTAGGGCTTTCTCCAATATCGATTTATCCTTCAAAAAAATTACTGTGACATCCGCGAATTGACTTATCTTAAATTCTGTATCAAATATGTTTATGTCTTCAGTGTCCGGATGAATCACAATAAGGTGAGCCAACATTTGCGTGCAAACAATAAATAATTTTGGAGAAAGTGGGCAACCTTGCCTAATTCCGCAGGATACATCTATTCCAGGGGTAATACCTGGGTTGAGAGAAATGCAACTATAAATCTGATTATAAAATAATTTAATCATTTTGCAAAATTAGTTTCCAAATCCAAAAAGTTCCATAGTTCTAAATAAAAAATCATGTTCTATTGAATCAATTGCTTTAAAAAAAAATCGTCATCGTCTTCCTCCGCTTATCCAGGTCCGGGTAGCGGGGGCAGCATCCCAAATAGGGAGCTCCAGACTGTCCTCTCCCTGGCCACCTCCACCAGCTCCTCCGGCAGGACCCCAAGGCGTTCCCGGACCAGATTGGATATGTAACCTCTCCAACATGTCCTGGGTCGACCTGGGGGCCTCATGTCGGCAGGACATGCTCGGAACACCTCCCCAGGGAGGCGTCCAGGAGGCATCCTGACCAGATGCCCAAACCACCTCAACTGACTCCTTTCGATCCGGAGGAGCAGCGGTTCTACTCCGAGTCCCTCCCGAATGTCTGAGCTCCTCACCCTATCTCTAAGGCTGAGCCCGGCCACCCTACGGAGGAAACTCATTTTGGCCGCTTGTATCCGCGATCTCGTTCTTTCGGTCATTACCCAAAGCTCATGACCATAGATAGGTGAGGATTGGGACGTAGATCGACCGGTAAATCGAGAGCCTGGCTTTCTGGCTCAGCTCCCTCTTCACCACGACAGATCGGCTCAGCGTCCGCATCACTGCAGATGATGAACCAATCCGCCTGTCGATCTCCCGATCCCTCCTACCCTCACTCATGAACAAGACCCCGAGATACTTAAACTCCTCCACTTGAGGTAGGACCTCTCTCCCAACCCGGAGTCGGCAAGCCACCCTTTTCTGGTCAAGAACCATGGTCTCAGATTTGGAGGTGCTGATCCTCATCCCAGCCGCTTCACACTCGGCCGGGAACCTACCCAGCAAGAGCTGAAGGTCAGAGCTGGATGAAGGAGGACCACATCATCCGCAAAAAGCAGAGACGAGATTCTCCTGCCACCAAACTCGACACACTCCACACCACGGCTGCGCCTAGAAATTCTGTCCATAAAGGTCATGAACAGAACCGGTGACAAAGGGCAGCCCTGGCGTAGTCCAACCCTCACCGGGAACAGGTCCGACTTACTACCGGCTATGCGGACCAAACTCACGCTCCTCTGGTAAAGGGACTGAATGGCCCTTAACAGAAAGCCACCCACCCCATACTCCTGGAGTGTCCCCCACAGGGTGCCCCTGGGGACACGGTCATAAGCCTTCTCCAAATCCACAAAACACATGTGGATTGGTTGGGCAAACTCCCATGCCCCCTCCATCACCCTTGCAAGGGTATAGAGCTGGTCCACAGTTCCACGGCCAGGACGAAAACCACATTGCTCCTCCTCAATCTGAGATTCAACTATCGATCGGACCCTCCTCTCCAGTACCTTGGAGTAGACCTTTCCAGGGAGGCTGAGGAGTGTGATCCCCCTATAGTTGGAACACACCCTCAGGTCACCCTTCTTAAAGATGGGGACCACCACCCCGGTCTGCCACTCCACAGGAACTGCACCAGATGACCACGCAATGTTGCAGTGACGTGTCAACCACAACAGCCCTACAACATCCATAACCTTGAGATACCTAGGACGACTCTCATCCACCCACGGTGGTCCACCACTGTGTAGTTTTTTGACTACCTCAGCAACTTCTGCCCCCGAGATTGGACAGTCCATCCCCAGGTCTCCCGGCTCTGGTTCCTCCTCGGAATGCGCGTAGGTGGGATTGAGGAGCTCCTCAAAGTATTCCTTCCACCGTCCGACTATAGCCCCAGTTGACGTCAGCAGCTCCCCATCCCCACTGTAAACAGTGTGAGCGAGTTGCTGCCTTCCTCCCCTGAGGCGCCGGACTGTTTGCCAGAACCTCTTTGGAGCCGATTGATAGTCTTTCTCTATGGCCTCACCAAACTCCTCCCATGCCTGAGATTTTGCCTCAGCAACTGCCACTGCTGCACCCCGCTTGGCTATCCAGTACCTGTCTGCTGCCTCCGGAGACCCACAGACCAGCCATGCCCTGTAGGCCTCCTTCTTCAGCCTGACGGCTCCCCGAACCTCTGGTGTCCACCAGCGGGTACGGGCGTTGCCACCACGACTGGCACCGGCCACCTTGCGATCACAGCTAGTGACAGCCACCTCAACAATTGCAGAGTGGAACAAGGCCCACTCGGAATCAATGTCTCCCACTGCTCTCGGGATGCGTTCAAAGCTCTGCCGGAGGTGGGAGTTCAAGACCGTCTTGACAGGTTCTTCTGCCAGGCGTTCCCAGCAGACCCTCACTATGCGTTTGGGTCTGCCAGGTCTACGCGGCACCTTCCCCTGCCATCTGATCCAACTCACCACCAGGTGGTGATCAGTTGACAGCTCCACTCCTCTCTTCACTCGGGTGTCCAAAACATACGGCTGCAGGTCAGATGATACGACTACAAAGTCTACCATCGACCTGCGACCTAGGCTGCCTTGGTACCAAGTGTACCGATGGGCATCCTTACGTTCGAACATGGTGTTCGTTATGGCCAAACTGCGGCTTGCACAGAAGTCCAATAATGAAACACCACTCGAGTTCAGATCAGGCGGGCCGTTCCTCCCAATCACACCCCTCCAGGTCATGCTGTCATTGCCCATGTGAGCATTGAAGTCCCCCAGCAGGACAATGGAGTGCCCTGGTGGAGCACTATCTGGCACTCGTCCCTCGCTTTAAAAAATTCAATGAATAACATTAAACTTTGACTTGACTTGTACTGTCATGTTGTGAGCCAAGAGGAGGTTAGGACCCAAAGAAGCAACGATGCCAGATGACACAGGGTTGGTAGAAAATAACGAAAATCCT